TGTGTGTGTGTGTCGTGTGTGAGTGTGTGTGTGTGTGTGTGTGTGTGTGTGTGTGTGTGTGTGTGTGTGTGTGTAGTCGTCGTGTACGTGTGTGTGTGTGTGTGTGTGTGTGTGTGTGTGTGTGTGTGTGTGTGTGTGTGTGTGTGTGTGTGTGTGTGTGTGTGTGTGCGCGCGCGCGCGTGCGTGTGGACATGTGCGTGTGCCTGTTATTGGGCGAGTGGACGCATGCGTTTGCGCGTATTTGTGTGTGAGCAAATTGAAATGGGCATCTACATGATAAATCTCTCATTAGATAACTATAGCCAGAGACTCGTCGGTCGATTAGGCTTCTCACCCCATGGGTCTTTAGCCTCCGTGCTTCCGGCAGTAGTGAGGGGCTCGGATTCGCCCTCATCGTTGACGGCCCTCACGCGGAATCGGTACTCCTTGCCTGGCACCAGGTTCTCAACGACTAACTCAGGCGTCTGCAACGTGCATGAGTAGAGAGTGAGACTAACGATGTGTGTGTGTGCGTGTGTTCTCTTCGTTGATTATTTTAACCGATATGGCGTAATGTATTTCGTATTCTGATGTGGGCTTGTGGATGGGTTATGCGTATGGTTGTTTTATTGCGGTTATGCGTGTTTTCACACATTTCGAAAGTTTTTCATGTAGTATTTTAATTAAGTCTGACAAGTGCACGAGTCATTCACAATTTGTGTACTAGGATCGCGTGCATTTTAGGTTAGCATGTGCTAACGTTGATCCTGTTTTCGGTAGTGTTAACTTACGCGTATACACATATCTGAGGTTTGTAATAACTCCTACATGTGAATGCTATTTATTTACCTTGCTTGTACCGGCTGGCACCCACGTGTTACGAGCAAGGTCCATCTTCTCCACTGTATAATGGTCGATCGGAAGACCACCATCGTCCTTTGGCTTCTTCCATGACAGCTTCATATTGTCTTTATAAACGTCACTGACCTCGAGTGGACCTTCCGGCGCGGTGGGCTTGTCTGAAGGATATTATGTTTAATAATAAATATGCCATAATGTAGTATAATATAGCGTCATGTGTTGGAGCTGGTTAAAATCACATTAGACGAGGTGCCATTATACACAGAATTAGCACGAAATCATGCTGAGTAATTTTAAAAGCGTTGAACAGGCACGATCAACAAGTATTTACATAGATGCACTTCCCATTATTCTAACTAAAACGTCGCTACATGGAATCGCAAGTGTATACGGAGGAATCGTTGTAATCTGAAGGAGATGCAATCAGCGGTTATCCGGGGCTAGGTGAGACCTACCAAGGACAATCACTTCCACCTCTGCTGTATCGTCTCCGGTCTCGTTGTGCACCTTCAGCTTATAGATGCCCGTGTCCTTTCTCGTGGCTCGCTTCACTGCGAGGTTGGTATTGTAGTCTTCGTTCTCGATCGTTGTCCTATCATCAGGCTCCAGTTCTAGAAAAACATATTGAGTACAAAACGTCAGACGATGATTCAGCACCAAACAGGTGTGTGTGTACAATAAGACGGGGAAACGAAGCAAACACTGCTTATTGGTCCGGTATAGGGATTATACACGCATTTCCGTAACACCGCGAGTAAATAGTCTTGAAGATTTATTTAATCTCGGTAACATGTACTCTGTACCCCAATTTCTTGGTTCAATCCTTATTTTATTGATACAACCCTTTTACGTGTATAATAGAACAGGTAACGAACAAACCTTGCGTAAGCTGTATGCCCTAGTTACGCATTCTCGTAAACGAAATATGTAAAACGTAATATGTAGACGGTTGCCACCAATATACAGATGATTGTCGTATTAAAGATGCCGATGGTTGTCATGGTTACCTATGCGCCCGAACGACCAGGTCTTCTCCGGTGGAGGTTCACCGGTGATCGGCACGTTGAAGTGGAATCCTTGTCCGCAGCGAATAGTCACGGGCTTCAGTTTAGATCTATCTATCGAGGGCTTCACTGTAGAAACAAATTAAACACGATTTGTGTGATTCTCACGTGTAAACACGATGATTTTCACGTGTAAACACTTAACGTAAAAACACTTAAACGTATCTTTTAAGTTTTCGCAGGAATATTATAGCATTACGTGCGTTTGCAGGTGGTCATACGGAAGCCTTAACGTTCAACTGAATCGCATTTGCTATTTATATCTCGTTGATATTAAACAGCGAAAATGGACTAATAATATAAATATATATTACAGTATCGAGGCTTGGCGATCTTGAAGGAAGTTGGATCGCTGGGTTCACCCGGGCCAGCAACGTTAACAGGTATAACCCTGTACTGGTACTCCTTCCCTGGCTCAAGGCCACTCACGATTCCCGTAGTCTGATCGCCAGGTGCCTATATATGCAATCAGTGCATGGTTGTTACATTTACTGTGTCGCATTGCCGTCATTTATCTACGCTCAGTTGTGGTTTCGTTCTGTTGCTCTACAGCTTTGATCGAAGTGATGTGTAATCAATCAAAGTTTACTTGCAATAACATATCAGCAATACTACTAATATGCGACCAATTAATCGTGAACATGTTCGATAACAAATGACTTTACAGTGCGATATGACTAGAAGTACGTTGACTCAATACGCTGTCCTCATGTTTGCTACTATACAGGACGTTAACTGTAGGCCTATACGCAAGCTGCTAATCTATATTGTTCAATTGGAAATCGCATCAAATACAAGGCATATGATATAGATTTCTGCCAACATGTGCTCGGCATGTTGTTATTGGCACGTAGAGTACGTAGCACAGACCTCTCCGCCATCTGTCCAGCTCATTTTGCCCTTCTCGCGTTTCTGTAGCGCGTAGTTTTGGATGGGGGCGCCACCATCGTTCTTCGGTGGCTCCCATTTCAGCTTGACGTGATTTTCGTCCCAATCGTCGAATTCCGGAGTGCCTGGCTTGCCCGGGGGATCTAGAAGTAAAGAAAGATTTGGCCTAGTTAAGATCGTAGATATGCATTTTAATCACATCAATAATAATCAGAAGCTAATAATACGTATAAGGGTATTATTAGCCCTTGTAACAATGTCACCTCTCATAGAATTCGTGAAACCAAAAGACATTTAAGATATATTACTTGTATTGAATATAAAGGGGAATATTGAACATTTCCTACGATTTAAAAAAACACAAGCACATCATAACCATCGTGAAAATTCTTATCGAATATAACACAATAATACCACAGCACTGCAAATAGATGTGCGAGTGATCAAGCTATTGCAGTGACTGTGAGTGGCAGGTCAGGAACAAACGAAGCGGGTGGGCTCACCCCACGGATCCTTAGCTAAGACTGGTTTATCCGACGTCAACGGCTCAGATTCGCCCTCCTCGGTGACGGCCTTGCATCTGAACTTGTACTCTTTGCCTGGAGTCAGGCCCTCAATGTTTGCTTCCGGTGGTTCAGTGTCGCCGGATATTTCTGCGACCTTTTCCCAGACACCTCTGTTCACGTCCATAGCCTGCGAGTAATGACAGGTGAAATTTATCTGACTGCCTGCTTACTTAGGCTGCTTCCGCAACCAGAATTATGGTGGCCGGAAAGTGTATAACAGTCGGCTTTTTTGATGACATTGAGTGATGGTGCGATCACATAACTGAAATTTCCCGAGTTTTTTTTTCTGTGCCGTCATTTTACAATTTATAATTATATTTATTATTATTATTATTATTATTGATCTTATCAACGTTCTGGCCTACACGAGAACATACCTCGAAGACATATTTGTCGATTGGTAGGCCGCCAGTGTCTTTTGGGCGTTTACACTTGACGTGGCATTTATCTTTGAATACTCCATCCACCTCCAGGGGCCCTTCTGGTCTTAGTGGTTTAGCTGCAGAATAACGCAGGTTATTTGCGTGAAAATACAACACAACACAGTGTAAGCCGTCGTCTGATATTCTACGAAACACAATACATGGTTATACATTATTATATATATTTTATTATATTATTATTGGTTTATATATATTCGGTTAAATACGTAGCTTTGCCAGACGAATGATAGTGGCAAATGTTTACAGGACAACAATGGCTACTTACAGAGAACGGTGACTTGCAGTGTGCATGTGTCTGATCCAGAAGAGTTTGTCACGGTCAATGTGTAAGGACCCGTGTCCTTTCTGACCGTGTTGTCGATAACCAGTTTCGTCTGGTAATCTTTCCTCTTGACGGTAATTCTACGATATAACAAAATACATGCAGTTTTAAGTTGGAAGTTACTGAGAATTTATATTTTGTCGTCATCTCCTTCTTCCTCCGCTTCTCCATGTTATTCCCGTAAAATGGGGTTAACAGTCTATTTGAATTACTTGGATCTGGATAGGCATTGTAATACAGCGTCAGTACTACACACATCTTTACGTGTACGCGTATTTGTCTATGCACAAATTATTAGTTAAATAATGGTCTCCATTTTAGAATCTATCTAAAGGAGACAAGCAGCTCTGTGGCGAGAAATATTTACGCCACAAAGCTATTAACACGCACGAGAATACGCACGCCCTGATGCACGCACGCACGCACGCGCATGCGCATACACGGATGCACGCCCGCACGCACGCACGCACGCACGCACGCACGCACGCACGCACGCACGGATGCACGCACGATTCGTATATACGATTTTCGTAGTTTCAGAAAATGGCGGAGTAGCGCGGTGATGGATGAGTAGTAGGTGTTTGAGCAATGCTCACCTGCCCGTGCGCGCACCATCCTCTAGAGTCTCCGGCTTTTCCTCCCCGTACGTCCACACCTTGTCCGGCGGTGGCTCACCACTCACGGGCAGGTCTACAACCACCTGCTTTCCTGCCTTGACGACGATGTCTTGCAAGTCTCTGATGTCGATTCTAGGCCTCACTATATGACAAAGAAACAGGGGAGTCAGCTTTTAATTCATAAATAAACGAGCGATTTGTCTCGCGAAAAATGTACGCGTACATCGCCGAGTTGAATCGTGCAAATTTATACAATGCTATTCTTTTTTTCACTGTCCCTTGCATTCATGCGATATCGTGTCCGTCATTTATATTCCATGCCTTTCTAACACTTACAGAATTTCGGTTTAGTGAAGACGGGTGCGCTAGCTTCGCTCGGGGGTCCTGGACCAGCCTTGTTGACTGCACGTACGCGGAACTTGTATTCCTTCTGCGGCTTCACCTCTGTGACGCGCGCATCGCTCTTATCTCCAGCGACCTAGTCGATATAGTAAGGGAGATTCTCGTTGCTCATTGCCGAAATTATTTTCGTAGTGATAATTATGTATATTAGCAATTACGATTAAGTTAATTGTTTGTAATTATTAATAAATAACTTTTATTTATTTATGATAATATAGAGTATACAATTTATTAATTTATTTTAGTAATAATATTATAATTATTTTAATTTAAAAATTAATTATTAATCAATTGTTTTAATTAAACATTTGTTGCCGTAAGCGACTAGATGTATGAACGCTCACAACAGGTTGTCATTTATCTACGTTATCGGGAGTAAATAATAAATATTATGTTACCTTATTATCTCTTTATTAACTTTCTATAATACTGATTTATAGTTGCAACACATGTTGGTATAAACATTCGTTCTCACCTCCATCACGGGAATCCATTCCTTGGTGCCCGATTTCTTTTCGATTATGTATTTCTCGACAGGAGCTCCACCGTCGTTCTTCGGTGGCGCCCACTTGAGGTCAACCCTATCGGAATCCCAGTCCACAATTTGTGGTATTCCGGACGCTCCCGGTTCATCTGAAACCCAAAGCACATCGCTCAGTTACGCTATCCCTACAGATTTACCTACGCTTAGCCTCTATCTGAAATCTAAGTTGCTTCAAAAACATACTGTCCATTGCTTTTCTATCGATATTTCGCGAAATAAGATAGCAAATGTGAGTGATATATTAGCCAATACAACAGTGTCAAAGTAAAATGTGTACAATGTTGTATGTAACTTGTATAACATGCATTGCATTTATGCAAATAATTAGCCAGTACAATGTCAAAAGATAATATGTATAATGTTGCATGTAACTTTTATAACATACATTGTATTTATGTAATAAGTATATCTTACCGTATGGGTTCTTTGCTAGGGTTGGTGTAGTTGTCACTAGCGGTGGAGACGCACCGAGCTTGTTGACAGCGCGTACTCGGAACTTGTACTTCTTCTTGGCTGTCAAGCCATCAACCTGTATATATGTTTGAATACATGTTTTTAGTGAAGACCTCGTTCTTATTTTATACCGCAATGACATGTAGTGATAAGTTGGTCGAACCCACGTGACGTAGCACACCGTTGTCAATCCAGAAAATTAAAGGAAAATGGGGGTCAATTAAGGGGGTCAATCAAAGGAATCAAGTGGATTCGCATCCCGTGGAGACGGTCCAAGCCTGCAATATATTACATGTAAGCAAGTTTAACTACGGTGACTCCTACTCTATACTACCAAGCTACGAGGACTTCTACACTATACTACATTATACTACCAGGCTACGTGAATTCTGGGTGATACTCCATTAGGAGTGTTCCCAACTTTAATGTCATTAATGGTCATAATAACATATATATATATATACATACATACATATATATATATATATATTTATTTATATATATATGGTCATGGTCATATATTAGTTTGTGGTTTAATGTCATTAATCATTAATCATTAATGATATCAAAGTTGGGAAACACTCCTAATGTAGCGTTAGCCTGAATTCTCACACTATACTACACTGTACTGCACTATACTACTAGGCCACGGGACCACACCTTGGCGGTTGGTTCGTTGCCGGCCGTCTCCGCTGCAGGGAACCATTGCTCGGGCTGGCTGATGTCATTTTTCTCCACGATGTATTTCTCGATCGGACATCCGCCGTCGTCTTCCGGCGGGCTCCACTTCAGATCCATGCTGTCGGCAAACACGTCGAAGACCTCCATCGGGCCGACAGGCGCCGTCGGCATGTCTGAAAACGAGAGGTCATGAAAAGTTCAAGAGATCATATGATCCTTCGATGCCATACGCGAGAGACATTTAACGAAAGAACACACTGTGTGTAGTTGGTGCCTATTCAGGCCGAGCAATGTTGACAAACTGTCGTGAGAAAAGTATTGTTTGTTTCTTTACATAAATTTACAAATATATGTGCTAGATGTATAGAGTGCTATTAGATGTAGACCCGTTTAAGAAAATTCTTGTTATATAACCTTGTTCACGGCTTCATGTGGGCGATAGCACTCTTGCATTGGTTCACGAGGTAAACTAAATAAGCTGTGACAGCTTCACGCAAAAATACGGCTATGATAACAGTCCACGTATGTGCGGCTATTTCGGAACTTCCTGGAAAAATATTGCATGACGAGAACACACGTACCCAGAATGCTGACATTGATGGGTGCCTTTGCCTCGCCCTTTACGTTTTTGAGTCTGAGTTCGTAGACGCCCTTGTCACCACGCACGGGCTTTCTAAGCT